CCTCACGCACACCTCAACTGCAAATAGTAAATAATCGAAAAATAATATACATATATAATATATAATATACATATTCACTCAGATGATCATTTCATAAAAATGCAACTATTATTGAAGAGATCGGAATTACCTTTAAAATGTGGGCTGTAAGAGCAAGGTTTGCACAGCGGATCCGTCAGACTCACAGCTGCCATTATCACCGTAATAATCCCAGCGGTGACACGGATTCATATGATTAATACTGCATTTATAGGTTTATTCATCCATTAATGGCGTTTGTCACTCTCATTGCAAAGGGGCTTTTCAGTGGTCCTCCTCTCCAACGTGTTCACTCACACAGCGCCATGAGATGTAAATAAAAGGCGTGGTCAAATCTGCTAGACGAGAAACCACGAGACGTATCGATGTTCTGTGAATCTGCATTGAACTACCCGACATAGAAATTGAATAAATTGGGTAGAATGGACATTTTTATGACTCATATGCCTGAATGGGCGGAGCTTGTGGTCCAGGCGTGGAGTCGAAATAGCTTCTTTTTTATTTGAACTGTAACAGTGGTGTATTTTCAATTCATTTGCCTTTAACGTTTCATAGTTATATTATTTAGCTGGGTTTACAAATTTCTGCAAACCAATAGTGAAGCAGCACATACATAGAATTTTCACGAGGTGCTGGTTACTTTTCTCTGCGCTGTTAAGGATGGGCCAATCACATTCGTTTAGAAGAGGATTTCTGAAGTGAAATGCTGTTATCAGGCGATAGTCTTACATTTAGAAATGAATCGATTTAATCGCGTATACTTTTTAACGTAACAGTACGGCAAAGTTTGCATGCGCCTCATAATTGACATTTTGGGGCTCCATGCGCCACTTGAAACATGATGCATCACTGATCTATATACAAGTTGTGATACATTCGATAAATAAGAATTAGTTACTTATTAGCTTGTAAAATTCTCCACTCACTGGATGGACCTTTGTGTGTTTGACCAACATTGTCTTAAGAGACAAAACAATTTATAAATATTTTAAATATGATTACTTATTGTTCTAAAAAAAATTACAATAATTAATCTTTAAATGCCAGACATAGAGAAGGATAACTGTTCTCATTTTGTTCCCTAAATATATTTAATTTCACTTAGTCAAACAAACAAGGAGTTATTAATGAAAGGATGGAGCTATTTTCAATGTTTATTAAATAGTAATAAACGGACAGGAAAAATCTTAGACCTTTTCCATGATTTCAATGAATGACAATAAAACACTGCTTATTTAGAAGGTTTGTGTCACGCATATTTAAAGTGAAAGGTATACTAAGAAATCAAAGTAATGCAATAAAAAAAAAAACATTTAAATAGTGTGCTGATAAAGAAAACATCAATACTTACACAGTATTGACATCTTGTATTACAAAAAAGACAAGAATTTTTCTGCAAAGTTTCAAATAAGAAAAATACAGCTGTAGTTAAACATTTTTTCTATCACAATCATTTCCTTAAGTGCATCGGAAAAAAAATAAATCCGTTAGCAGAACTTTGCCGAGCTATTTAAAAAAAAAAAAAAAAAAGAAGTCGTCCTGCTTTTGTCACAATTATTCATTTACATGCTTCATAATACAATAAAAAAAAGTTCCATCATATTTCTGCTCCCTTTTATGACAATATGATACACCAGCAGAAGAGTCCAGCGGCTGTAGCAGAAAACCTGAAATTCCCTCGAGTTATTTACTGATCGTCTGGAGAAGTTTTCTAAGAGACAACAAGTCATGACCGTCCAACAGGGTTCAGCGTGAGATTAGCCATGAGCTCATGAACCGCTGCAAATATTGTGCACTCTCCTGTAAAAAAAAAAAAAAAAAAACAGGCTAGCATTAATATTGAAATGCAAGTATAGAAACAAAATGTTAAATATCTGACTAATATTATATACTGATTTCCATATCAATTTAAAAATTCACATTAAACAAAACAGATGTGTGAACCTTGTCGTGGTGGATGGTGCTCATTGAACCTCCTGAGGATGGAGCTGACCATCAGTGCCGCGGCTCCCGAGGAGCTGTGCTGGCGGGGGATATCAGCCTGCTGGGTCAGTCCAGTAGCCATGTCATACACAATAGGCACTATGATGCTGACGGGCTCCTGGGGTACCGGTAGTCTCTGGGTCAGCTGGAGCTGTAAAAGAGCATCACGTCAAGTTAATACACGTTAGGATTCCATAGTAAACGTAAACCACAGATCAAATACAATTTGCTGGGTGTACAATGGCCGGAATATTAGTGTAATAATCAGAATTCAGGGCATGGTTATTTATGTATGGTGAGATCGTATTTTATCCATTGGGAATTGGTTGTATGGTAAAAGGGGACATTGCAAACCAGAAAGGAGTGGCTGAAGCACTTACAAAGAAGAGCATCTTGGTCTTAAGCACCACAGCAATGGTTCCTGGTGGGGCGATGGGAGGAGCGCTGGGTGGGATGGTCAGACAGAACTGCACATTCCAATTCAGCTGGGCCGCTTGGTCTGGGAACTGGAGGAAAAATGATGGGCCAGTGAGTTTCCAAATGTAAAAAATAGCTCAAAAGTTCAGGAAGATTTTTTTTGTTTTGTTCTGGAAAGAGGTCTCATATGCTAACCAATGTAATATTGTGAAATATTATTACAACTTGAAACCCTGTTTTCTGGTATATTTATGCATTTTATTCCTTTAATGGCAACATTAGGTTTTTGCTTAAAGCTTAACATTTTCAGGAGCAATTTTTCCAGTTTTTAGAGTTACATAAAACTTTAGAAATAATTTTAATATGCTGATTTAGTGATAATTTTTTTTTTTATTTTTTTTTTTTTTAATTAAAAAAGGTCAAAAGACCAGCATTTATTCGAAATCTTTACTGTACCTTTTGACCATATTAACATATCCTTACTAAATAAAAGTATTAATTAAAAATCTAATTGACCCCAAACTTTTGAAACGTAGTGTATGCCTGCACAAGGGCAAAAAAAAAGTAATATTAAATCAACATGAATGTGCTTACCAACTCCAGTTTCATGATGCGAACACAGTCTCTGAGTATGTTGGTTGGAGCTCCCAACAGCTTTGTAAAGGCATTTAGTGTGTTGTATTTAAAGGGTGGTCCTGCAACCTATGGTTTAAGTAAAAGAAAATGACTTGCACTTGCATAACTGCACAATACCTGACTTGATGGCATTACCAAGAAGGCCACTGAGTGAACTGATTTGCTTTAAAGAAAAGAAAAAATGCACAGCTAACTGCACTAAGCAGAATAGCAAAGATAAGCGTTTTCTAACTAGTTTTAAACAGGTAGCCCCTAATCATGACATTAGGCCAGTGTTGTTAAATCAGGACGAACAGGGCCATTTTAAAATACACATTACAATTCTCTTCAAAAGTTTGTTTCCTACCCTGGTCTCAAAGAACTTCTCCAGGACCTGCAGCTCCTCCTGCGACCAGGGTCCAGTGTTTTCTGGTGTGACTTTCAGCTGCAGAGTCTGGTAGGTTTTGGGGTTGAGAGCCACTCTACATTTAAGCACTTCTGTCTTAAACATGATAACGCCTGGCTCGTTAGAGTTCACAATAGTGAGCTGTGAAGAGAAGGTAATCGAGAGTGATGCAAATACAGTGTGTAAGCAGAATCATATCAATCTGACTGGTTAAATGATGTGGTTGTAAACTTGTTAACAGTTTCTGACTCACATTGGGTTCTAACTGTATGATTCTCTGTAGGTGCCGCCTCATGATGACAGAGCCCAGGAAGCGCTCCAGAGGTGAGCACAGGTAGCTGCCCGCCAGCCCTGGCACTGGGCATGGAATGGATGACGGCAGAAGCAGAACATGTAGTTTGCTGTGGGTGAGGATGGTGGGAATAGAAGCGGCCCAGGACCGCTGTGGCAGTTTACGGGGTGGGGGCATTGCCTGTGAACCTACACACACAAGCACGCACAGTGACTGACTGAACAAATTTAATTACTGCTTAATGTACAGTAGTAAAGTGAAATGTAAATAATATTAAATTCTCTCATTTACACTACTTTTTCTTTCTAGAAATTTGTAGTTTTACTAAGCAAGGATACATTAAACTGATCAAAAGTGACAGTAAAGACAATCTTACAAAAGATTTCCGTTTCAAATAAATGCATTTTTTTAAACTAATTTTCTATTAATCTTGAATCCTAAACGTGTATCATGGTTTACACAAATATATTAAGCAGCACAACTGCTTTCAATATGATAAGAAAAAATGTTTCTTGAACACTAAATCAGTATATTAGAAAGATTTCTAAAGGATGTAACACTGATGGAGTAATGGCTGCTGAAAATTTTGCCTTGCCATCACAGGTATAAATTACATTTTAATATAAAAATAAGCTATTTTGAATAGCAATACTGTGCAATATTACTGTTTTACCTTGGTGAGCATAACAGGCTTCTTTCAGAAACATAAAAAAAAAATCTTTAAAAATCTCATTTTTGACCAGTAGTGTACATCAAACCTAGGACAAACGATGTAATTATCCGGTTAATCGCACAGAAAGTGTCAAGAAAATGTCCTGGTACTTAACCCCAAAATCAATGCAATGCAAAACCCCATCAAGGTATTTTGCATTTCAATAAAGACAATTAAGCAGAAAAATTCTAACTGAAATGTAATAATAATAATAATAAAAATAATTCTCATTACTGTAAAGTGGGAAAATATGTATATTTATAAAATAATAAGCTGTTCTGATAACATGGATCAGTCTTTAGACTCTGGACTTACTCATGCCAGCTCGAGGGGAGTGGGATGGATCTGGAATAGGTGAGTGCAAAGAAGGGTTGCCTGGTGACATGCCAGGGATTCGGGCCCCTGGGGAGGGTCCAGAGACCTGCGGAGAACCTGGCCATGGTCCGACCCTTGGACTGGCGGACACCATCGTGTACGGTGAACTGGGGTCAAGAGTTCCTGCAATACAAATGAAATACATTTGGATGGTAACTCACCCTCTCGAGGAGTGCCAGTTTCCATCGATGTACACAGTTTTTAGTCCATGGCAGTAACAGTAGTCAATACAACCCACCAAAAACACACATATCCCTACTGTAAAGTCAGAGCTGCTTCAGAGATGATTTTGTATGATTAAAACAAGGCAAAGAGATTTAAACCAATGACACCGATTCACTTTCACATGATTTCAAATGCACACCAATTAAGATAAGCTTGAAAAATGTTCTGAATCATGACATACTGTGACTAATGTGAGATAATTGACAATACTGTACAAAAATACACTATAATAATTCAATTTTTTAAGAAATTAATAGTTGTAAAGACAATTATGTTACAAAAACATTTCAAATTAATGTTGTTCTTTTGAACTCTCTTCATCAGAGAATCATGAAAAAAAAAGTATCATGGTTGTAACTTTTCTTTCTTGAGCAAAATCAGTAGGATTTCTGATCATGAGACACTGAAGTCGGGAGTAACGGCCACCACAGGAATAAATTAAATCTTACCTATATTAAAATAGCAAACAGATATTTTATTTGAAATAACATTTTACAATATTACTGTTTTTACTGTATTTTTGACCAAATAAATGCAGCCTTTTTGAGCATAAGAGTTTTTTTTCTTGCATATAATCATGCATATAATTCTGACATTTTGTTTACCCAGTCCCACCAGTCAAAGAAACAAAGAATCAAGAAATAATACAAGTATCAAGCAAGTGCTCATTTAAGCTTTAAGAGTACATCCACCATGCGCAAAGTCGATCGTTAGCAACAAATCAGATGTCTTTCACCAGCCCATCAAAGATTGAAAAATTTTTTACTGCAGAGGTAAAAAGAAGAGCCAATCAACAAAGCCCTGTATCCAGGCCTCCCGTGCACTTACCATGTGGGCTAGCAAAGTTGGAGGTCTGTCCCATAGAAATGCCCAGAGAGGAAGGAGAAGGGGTGGGCCCATAGGGAGAAGGGGCCCGCAGAGCTCCGCTAGGGGAATTGGCTGCGTGGATGTTCCCTGCACACAATTAACCAATCAGTGCCCTCATCAACATCTGACAAGAGCATGTCGCTCCCGTTCCTGCACGCTCACTTTCACACACGCTGCAGCCAAAGCGGGACAGGAGCTGCAGACCCCGAATGGAGATGGGCAACTGTGGGCATGCTCCTTCGTGAGGATGCACGGTGATGGTGTCATCAAACACAGACTGACCGATAAAAGCATGCATACCAACAGACAGGAAGAGCTGGTGGGACGCCAATGAGAATGTTTCCTTTCCTTTTGTTTCCCTGACTCCATGGTGGCATGACCAGGAAAGCACAGGCAGCAAAATGACAGCATTTGACAGGATAGAGACACATATTTATATACCTGGAGACTGTGTTGTTATCATGGAAGGTGAGGGAGGCACGTGGTACGGGTTGGGGGGCGATGTGAGGGGTGGATAAACCCCTCTGCCTGGAGGCTGCGTCTGAGTGTGGGGCATGAAAGTGTCGTCCATGCTTATCGGGGAGGGAGGGTTGTCGTCTTCATTGACCGAGCGTCTGCGGGCGTCTTGGTTACTATCCACAAACATGTTCAAGAACGTCTGTGGAAAATCATTGAAAAGTGACAATTACACCCATGCACAACAACAGTTAAAGGGACAGTCCAAACTAAAATAAACTTCTGTCATCATTTACTCACCCTCAAGTTGTTCCAAACTTTACTTTCTTCAGTGGAACATTAGAGAAGATATTTTAAAGTATGTTGGTAACCCAACATTCTTCATATTACCCTCTTTTATGTTCCACAGAAGAAAGAAAATCATACAAGTTTGGAACGACAAGGGAGTGAGTAAATGATGACAGAATTATATAACATTTTTGGATGACTATCCCCTTAATATGTTTGATATTTTTGCTCCACCCACCTTTAGTCCTGGGGCGGGGTAGAAACCTTCAACTATCTTGGTGTTGTCAAAAAGACTATAGGCCCCGTCACGGATGGCCACCACACCTCTGCTACGGCAGTAGATGTCAATGCAGTACATGTTGCGGAAGGCCAGACGGATGTGAGTGGGTGACTGAGGCAGGATGGAGAAGCACTGGTACGCCGTATTGGTCCTTTGGGTGAGGCCCAGCATAGGCACTGTGGGTAGCTTGTTGATGGCATTTAGAGGAGCTTGAGTGTCTGAGAGGCCCTGAGAACAGACAAGTATGTGACAATACTTCCAGCATCTACTAATGATCAATCAATATATTCTCCAAATTGGTCAGTTAACAATTTCATTTTGTTTTAAAAACGTATTAAAAAATGTGCTGGTATATATTAATACAAGTACTAATAATAAAACTACAGATTACAGTTCATAGACCAGTAACCGCTTGAATTGTAGTAAGTAAATGAAGTATGATGTTTAGTAGTGTCAAGGCTCTAGATACCTGTAGAAGTTGTACTACATTGGGTGTCTTGTTGAACATCTCTTGAAGTTGGTGGAGAATTATGTTGTGACAGTTGCTACAGCCTGAATTGGGCCCCACAGTCCCCAGGGCCAGATGGTAACGCTGGGATGCAGAGTTCCACTGTATTGTCACCTGAAAGAAACCGGATTCAACTTGTAGCAAATGAAACAAGTGTGATTTAAACTAAATCACTAAATAAAGGGATTAAGGGCCTTTAAAAGCACAATATGTAAGATTTTTTTATTAAAATATCCAAAAACCACTAGAACATTGTTATACCCATTTTGCTGACTTGTGTACTTACATTATCCCAAATGTTTCGAAAAAAAATGTAAATCCAGAGAAATAAGCAATTTTAACTAGTGACACGGGCTGTGTCCATAGTGTAATTGTGTCGCCTGCCAATGACGTCATAACCAGGGTTTGAAATTAACACCCGCCAACCGCGGGTAAAAATCAGCTGTGGCAGGTAACGCTGTCAAATCACTAGCCAATTTGTCAGCCGGGTTACTTTTCGTAAATTATGTTCACTCATTAATTTCTTGGGGTAGTTCATGCAGGCCAAATCTGCGCAGGTTTAGCGCAAATACTGAACTCGTGAGACATCATGACATTATCGAGTATATTGCAAAAGCTAAACAAAACACACCTACAGAGGCGTGCATACGCGACGTGATGAAGTCTGGTTAGACCAAAACTAAGGATTTAGTGCACGTGCGCATTTATAGTGCGCTCTTTCACTGCATGATTCAGTCTATTAATATGCATTAACAATGATCACATACTTCATGGTAAGGAGGCAGGAAATGTATATATTTATATCAATTCATATAGTTAATCAATATCACACAAAGAGAAAAAATCAGCATGGTTATAAATGTGATATTTATTTTATACAACAGTTCGATAAACAATAAGTTAATATCAAGAGACTTATGTTTTAAACACCATATTGGCTGTTTTTGCGCTATTTCGCCAACAAAAAACATTCCAAACACAGCCACAGTACTGTTTTGCGTCTCTGAGCAACATGACCTTGTTTTGTTTCTGAATGAATCAACTGTTTAAATGATTCGGTTCAATCGCAATGACTCACTTAAGTGACTTGCTGCCACCTACTGGCGGTTTTAATTTCACATTTAAAGTATCTTTTCATTTTTTAAAGGGGTCATAATTAACATGTGTAAATGCATCTAAATGCCACTTCATATGCAACTTCTGCAAAAGATTAATTTTATTGATACTGATTGATTTGTTTAGTAACAGCCTAAATGTATTATTATTATAATTGACTGATTAAATGTAAGACTTTGACTCAAAAGATGATGTACACTTTTAGAAAAAAATGGTTTTATAAAGGTAAGAATGCCCATAAAAGTTAAAAATCAATTAAAAAATATTGGAAAATATTAATTTCTATCACTGCTGTGAACGGACCACACAGAATATGAAGAATATCCAAAACTTTAGGAGTCAGCTGTCCACGGTAATCCTTAAGATATCAGCACAATAACACACTCAGCAAAATATCATCTAATTATCTTTATCGATAAAATCAGAACATATTGAGATATTATTTTTTGTCAACATCGCACACCCCTAGTACTGACAAAATGATTTGCAACGGTCGCTTTGTCACGCCCAGTGTAGACGGCCTCAAACTGTTGATGTTTTTCTTTTTTTTTTTTTTTTTTTTTGGCTAGTAGAAGTTATGAATGGCCGATAACTTAAAAATGTAGTTGCCAAATTGGCTGGTGAGTGAAAAAGTTAATTTCAATCCCTGGTCATAACCCCTCGATTTTTTATTTTTATTTTTTTAATATGTTAAAGCGTTTTAATAGACTGGTGACGACCGCACAGAGTAGCATTATAACAGAACTTTCAAATGTATCTAGTATGATAAAACAGCGCTGCTTTTTTTCCCCCCAAATACGCACGACCGGAAGGAGCGGAAGCGGTCGACTGTGGCATAATAAAAGCTCCGCAGCTTTCGAGCTGTGTGTCACGCTCGTTCAGCGGCCTCTTTTCGCTTCGATGACTTTCAGCCTCACCCTGCTTCATTCTACTATGTTAATAAATCATTAGCTCATCCATGAACATGATTTCTGCCCGAGTCCCGTCGGATTGCATCGGCTGTGGGGATGAAGACGACAACTCCCATGATTCCACACTCAGTCACGGCGTCGTCAAACTACGCCTCTGTCTATTTGTTTATTTTGAATACGCGCCCTCTAGCGGCAAAAATTACATACTGTGCCTTTAATATCGGCATTTTAACAAGATGAGAAGGTTTTTACCGAGCTGCCTTTGGTGCTGCCATAACATAGAACCAGCTTCCGATAATTGTACAGCCGTATTTCTGAGAAAAGGCTCAAATAGGAGGGCATTTCTGGAAAACATAGATAATTAATTAATTAATTACAAGCAATTCAAGTTCTTCAAACCATTCATAAGTCAAGTATTTTCTCATACTTATACTAACATTCACAGGTTTGGGGTTGGTAAGATTTTTTTAATGTTCATGAAAGAAGTCTCTTAAGCTCACAAGTCTGCATTTATTTGATAAAATCACAGTAAAACAACAATACTGTGAAATATCATTAAAATTCAAATAATACAAATTAATACAAATTCTATTTAAATATATTGTACAATAGAATGTATTCCTGTGAAGGAATTTAAAATTGATGCAATCATTTAATACTTTAAATGTACTATGGCATCAAAGGAATACAAATCATAGCTGGTCAACAATTAAAACTCAAATTAGAATGGAAGAGATGTGATTTACCTAGTTAGAACAGAAGTACCTACCAGGTAAAGCGCGTGAGAAATCCAGCACACATTCATAAAGCTGACTAATGCTGTTCCAGTCGTTCAAGAACATCTCCACCACCTTCCTGCCACCCACCGCCTCCGAAAGGGGATTCTCATAAGTCAGGTAGACATGCCGCGCAGAAGCTGAATTGAAATAGACAGAAAATATTGTAAAAGACACATACATTATTGTTTTGAAAGCTGTTAAGAGGATAATTAACTGTCTTTACCTTGTTCTTTGTTGGCTGTGCTGCTGAGTGGACAACCGGAGAAAACCAATTCTGCCACCCAGGTGCGATTATTCCGGCCCTGTAGTCTGAACGTACAGTCCAGCAGGGAGCGCTCTAGAGCTTTTCTCGTTTCCTCACTTACTCCTTTACAAGGTGGAACTCTGAAAGAAGAAAAGCATTTAGCAAACTATCGCCAAAAGTTTAAGTCGGTAAGATGTTTTTAATGTTTTTGAAAGAGGTCACTTATCCACCCCAAGGTTGCATTAATTAGATTTTTTTCTTAAGTAAAAACCGCAATATTGTAAAATATTTTGTATATTAATATATCCGTTTTAATATTTTAAAATACAATTTATTCCTTTGATGTCAAAGCTGAATTTTCAGTGATCCTTCAGAAATCATTCTAATAATCATATTCTAATATTTGATGCTCAATAAACATTTCTTATTATTATCAACATTTAAAACAGACGGATTCTTTAATGAATAGAAAGTTTCAAAGAACAAGCATTTATTTGAAACGGAAATCTTTTGTAGCATCATAAACATCTTTCCAATTAAAGCGATAGTTCACCCAAAATTTTTTGCCATTTTGGAGAGTATCACATACGTAAACAACGTATAGGCCTACAACGTATGTACGCGGATACGTTGCTTATGCTTTGATCTGAACGTAAACAACGTATTAGTGTACATTCGTGTGCATACGTTGTTTACATATGTGATACTCTCCAAAATGGAGCTATAGGGTGAAGCGGAGGAGAAGAATTGCACAAAAAGTGGCTTTGTAAAATTACTGTTGAACCCCTGATGTCACATGGATTATTTTAACAGTGTCCTTGCTATGTTTCTGAGCCTTGATTGTGTAAGGATCCTTGCAGTCTATGGGAGGGTCAGAAATATCTTGGATTTCATCCAAAATATCTTAATTTGTGTTCTGAAGATGAACGAAGGTCTTACAGGTTTGGAACGACATGAGGGTGAGTAATTAATGACAGAATTTTCATTTTTGCGTGAACTATCCCTTTAAATGCATCCTTGCTGAATAAAAGTATTAAGTAGATATGCATCTATCATATGTGACAGTCTGGTTTATTAACTTCAGAGATGCTTGTAGTGGCAACCAGAGATAAATCTTACTTCAGAATACGTATGGCGTGGCTACAGCCATCTCCTTCGACCTGAACCCCTTGGTGAGGAATCTCCATATTGGACAACTGCGAACACAATAACAGTAAACACAAAATGTGACATTTTCAACTAATAGCTTCAGATAATAAAGCACTGCTTTCACCATCTAATGGATATGAAGTACCTCACAGCGTAATCCGATGAGTGGCATGTTGGTGTCACACATGGCTACCAAGTGGGCCAGCTCCTTATTGAAGGCACACATCTCTCCTGACCTCTTGGGTTTCTTCGGTTCAATGGCACTTTGCTCTCCTGACAACTATGGAGTGACCAAAACAAGATTGAAGGCATCCTTGCTGAATAAAAGTATTAAGCAGATATGCATCTATCATATGTGACAGTCTGGTTTATTAACTTCAGAGATGCTTGTAGTGGCAAGCAGAGATAAATCTTACTTCAGAATACGTATGGCGTGGCTACAGCCATCTCCTTCGACCTGAACCCCTTGGTGAGGAATCTCCATATTGGACAACTGCGAACACAATAACAGTAAACACAAAATGTGACATTTTCAACTAATAGCTTCAGATAATAAAGCACTGCTTTCACCATCTAATGGATATGAAGTACCTCACAGCGTAATCCGATGAGTGGCATGTTGGTGTCACACATGGCTACCAAGTGGGCCAGCTCCTTATTGAAGGCACACATCTCTCCTGACCTCTTGGGTTTCTTCGGTTCAATGGCACTTTGCTCTCCTGACAACTATGGAGTGACCAAAACAAGATTGAAGCTTATAGTAAAAGCTTAAAGCCACAAAATAAAATGTGTTTTCATCAGAAAATTGAGTTATGACATTTCAATTAAAAATGTACATTTCGAGAAAAAAACAAACCAAATTAAAAATGAATCGTATGTATGGATGAATCGTTCACAATAATATCAATAACAGGCAAATACAACAAAGAGGTAACAAATGTTAAACGTTCAGTATATTGCGTTGATTATCCCACCTTTCTCTTGGACCCAGGACGAGCCAGTCGTCCAGATGAAATGTCCTGCACAAGCTCCTCCAGGTTGGACTTAAACTGCTGCAGCAGCTGAGCAGAAGGCAGCCCATCCTCACTCTCAATCTGACTCACAGACAGGAAGTAGTACTTATACTGGAGCTCTGTCAGATTGTTGGACACATCAAACATCTCGACCACCTGAGAAAGACAAGAGTTAATTAAATGTTTAGTGTGTACACAAAAGCCTTTTTACCTGTGAGATAAATACATTAAAGTATTTACAATATAGTATTGTGGGAGGCGAGTGAGTTTGATGAAGAGGCGATGTTTTGACAGGTTGCCCACAGGATGCGTGGTTAAGTTAGATAGGTGGAGAGTGTCTGTGCACAGTGTGGGAAGATGTTTCACAGACTGTCGACATCTCTGCTCGCCCAACCAGAATCTGTTTAAAACATAATATATTATCATCACTGTCACAACATGAAACGCACCAAGAACGGGCAGCTTGACTGCTTACTTTAGCTGCTGTATCCATGTGACGATGCGCTTCATATCATCGTTAATATTCTTCTCAATGTCGTCTAACATTGACTGATCTGGAAACAAGACAAGCAAGGCAAGTTAAGTAGTTGATTTGTTCAAATAATCTGATTGGCATCCAATGGATATGTGACTTACCAACTCCATAGAGCATTGGCTGAAACATTCCTGAATGCAAATCGACAAATATGTGGAGGCACTCCGATCGGCCGCAGGGCTCCAGGATTGGTATGACTAGTGTGGGCAGTGCAGTCTCTATAAAGGCTGAAAAATAAACACACAAAATCAATCTCTTAATGCATATGAAATAAATAATTGATTTTGACTTTTGATGTTTTCTAGTTGAAGAATGGTTTAAAAATAAAGATAAAGAATATTTAAAAAATATATAATAAATATATGTACACAATATTATTTTATTTACAGTATCAATAATAACAGCATAAAAATTGACCATTTTTAAATTTGCTTCCCTACACAATATAACGCATCCTCTCGTAATTTATTACTTAATTATTGTAAATCAATTTAGTAACCAAGAACAGCAAATGCAAATCATTATATTCCCTCTATAAAAACACACACACACACAGCAAGCAGCACAAAAATGGTCAAAATCATTGTGGTGTAAAATACTCACAGTTATCACTAGGGTTGCTACTTTTTAGGATGACTTTGAGTTCTTGCAGTTTCTGATGTGAGCGGGCATGTACACTATCGATCAAAAGCTTTTCAACTGAGAGATGATCAATCTGAAAAAACAGCCCACAAACAGACATGTAAGCTTTCATCCTCAGTTATTATACACTACCATTCAAGATATTTTAATGTTGTTGAAAGAAGCTTTACTTATTGAGAAGCATTACTCCAGTCTTCAGTGCTGATTTTATGCTGATGACTGGAGTATTTGGCTGCTAATATTTTTTTTTTTCCAACAAATAAATTACATTTTAAAATATATTAAAATACAAATCAGATATTTCAAATTGTAATAATATTTCATAATATTAGTTTTTGCTGTAATTTTTATCAAATAAACAGTCTTGGTGAGTATGAAAGAGACTTTTTAAAACCATTTTTAAAAATCTTATCGTCCCCAAACTTTTGAACATTAGAGTAAATAAAATAATTAAAAAATAATAATAATAATAATAAATGTTTATAGTAGTAGTACATATTTATTTAATGCCATGTCAGCATCTTAGACTATTTTCATGGCAAAAACAATTTAAAAAATACAAGTATAACAAATACAATAAAAACCAGCAAACAAACAAACAAACAAGTTATATTGCACAAGATTTTTTACATTAACATATGATAAAAATTCTAAAACTTTTTCTTTATTTTTCATATATATTTAAATCAAATGTATGGAAAAGAAGGGTACATGCACAGGGGTTCCATCATATCTTATTTCTTATGTCTTATTACACATCTTACCTCCGGTTCCCTTGTCTTCAACTAGAATCTCTAGTTTAAGAAGTCTCCATGGGATATCAGGATCATCCCCCATCACTGTCAGTGTGGCTTCAAATTCCCCCTCAACTCGAAACTTTACTCGCCCATTGGCTTCACACAAGTAAGATCATTCATAATCACAACAAAAAAAACACAAAACAAAAATATAGAATAAAATGTTTGGAAACATATAACATACTTATTACAGGGCAGAATACGTCTTTGCCAGTAGATGTGTGGAGCTTGGAACTTACCCACAGTTAAGTTGGCCAGCTGCGGTGGCAAGTCAGTGGTGACTAGTCTGTGTCTCAGGATTTGATTGAGCTGATTTAGCGTTGTCTGCTTTTCTGCTTTGGATATAGGGTCAGGAGGAATAATTTTGTCCTGTAAAAAAAATAAAATTAAAAAATTAAAAATTCAATTTAAAATAAAAAAAAACACCATTGCTGTCCATTTCACATTTATAATATCCACTTTAAGCTCTTGAACACTGTGTTTGACTACTCACTCGGATACAGGTGGGCAGACGCGGATAAGACCCTGTGGTCAATACATCAATGGCGAAAGGGATGGCAAAACTAGGCAAACGTGCATGTACCAAGGCGTCCCTGGCCAGTGATGCCAGTCGATCGGCCGTGTCAACAAATAAATATGCTTGCTGATCCAGAAATGATGAGATCATCTGCAATCAGAACTAAGAATGAGTACTACCTTAACAAGAATGAAAATAACTCCGATTGGAAGTGCAAAATAACTCACGCACCGCACATTTCTCCACCTTCCCAGCATTACTTGCCCATTTCACAAGAGCAAGCAGACGTACGAAGAGCTGCCGTGTCCGACTGGCAAACTGAACAATTTCAATTTTCCTGTAAGAGAGGACATAATCAGTTACATTCATATGCAAGCATAATCTATCTCAGGTTTTCTGTCTTGTAGAAGCCGAGGACCCTCAAAGCCTGTGAAGGACCCCCAACCTAAAATCTGAAAAGTCATCTATACAGTTTTGTGTACATAGACCAGATTTGTATTGTAAAAAATGTATGTTATAAATATGTCTAAAATATTATTTGGATATAATATCATTCATTTACTCATTTATTTATCTAGGTAAATAAATTAGTAAACATTTCTTTTTCAACTTTTCCATGAACCCCTAGCACTGCCTTGCAGCCCCCACTTGAAAACCTCAGGTGTAACCAGTATTACATTCATGTTTTTGAGAATCTAAGTGGAAACTCCATGGTAGTTTCTTACCTTTCCATGTCTGTTTTTCGAGGAAGTCTGTGAAAATCATAACGATAAGGTTTAATAACATCAAATGACAGCACAAACCATTTTACATCTTACATCTAGACAATTTGGAAGACATAACAATACAGATCCATAAAAGCAACAGAACAAGAAAATGTGCACACCTCTATTTATGCTCTAATTGCAATAACAGCATACTCGATGTTAATAGACTTGTTCCATAGATAAAACTTAAGACCTGTGTCACCCACTATATCCACCATAAATTCACCTAGGCTGCTATAAGCAGACCATTCAATTAAACTAGCTTCATGTTAAAATATGACTTCGCCCTGACAAATTTTACATGGTCAACCAAATAAACATAGCCAGCTAAGAAGTCATACAAGGGTCAGGAAGAGTTGCAGCAACATCCCCACATAATTTATATACCCCCATATAATCTCTACCAACTTAAAATCAAGATTTATAAATGAGCTGACATGATCTGCAAAGTAAAACATGTGTCAAGGAAACATATGGGCCAGTGCTAAACTAATTGTAACTTGATTTAAACATGCCTGACCAATGAGCAGAACAGGTCTGATCTCTCATGAACTCACAGCTCAGCCAGGAGAGTGATCTCATGGTAGGTTCGCTGCAGCAGGAACTCGATCAGGAGGCTCAGCCGGACTCCTTGAGTGGCCGGGGCTCCCGGAGGAGGCTGCGGGGCTGAGCTCGGACCCCCGGCGGGGACCAGCTGCCCGTCCGAACCGATCTGAACTGGAGCCATTTTAAAATACAACGGCAGCGATGTACGGCCACGGATCCGACGATTTCCACTCGCGTTTACCGCAAACTAGTTCGAGAGAATATTATCACACGTTCGTCCTAATGTGTATAGGTGGCGGAAACAATTTCAACCCATGAAGAAAGGAAGAAATGAGTCTGTAACATGTTAGATGTGGACAGATGGAGCCCCGTCATCACCCACTGGAGCTGAAGCAGGAAACAAAACTCTTCTTTCTTTAAATGGCGCTGGATCAATTATTTAAAATAAAAGTCTGAAAGCCAAAAACGTGATTTTAAAAGGATTGCATTCGTTTTATTTGCGTTTTATTTCTTTCACAGTACATAAAAACGGAAGACTAACCTAATTTTTAAAAATACATTTTGTCTGTATGTGGAGTCAAATAACATTTTAAGCGACAGTAGCTGCTGGAAAAGGAAAGCCTTGGAGACCTTTATTTTGCCAAGCTAAACGGCCGGACAGAATATCCGGTTTGGAATTTATTTTAATGCATCAAGCATGACAAAGTAATACTAGTTTTAAAAAACTGGTTCATTTTATGAAATGTATGCTAATAATATTTCACAAACAAATCAAACAACGGCAGCTCTGTTCACTTTTTTTTCGTTATGAACAGGACTTCTGAAAACTAAATGTCATATCGAGAACAAAAAAATATGGATGAAATACTTTGCCACGATAATAATGTTATGTACCAAAACCACATTTATTCAAATGTTTTAAATGTTATGTTTGGGTTCTTTTTGCATGCAGTTTTATTTATAGATCTAGTCAGTACTGGTTGGTTAGTGTAGTCAAAAGTGAAACAAAGTGATAAATATTGGTGTAATTCAATAATAAATTATTTATAATAAATATATGAGTCTAAATATTTATTTAAATCATTATAACATAAAAATATAATCATAGCCTGTAATATAATTAATAATATAATATCCCTAATATGGTTGGCCTTTGCCCAGTATTTTCATTGCTTTCCAACCATCCAATCACCTGCTGGGAAGTTTACAGTAGATCAAGTGAACTGCATAAATTATTTTGAACCTAACGACCTAAGTTTCCATATTAATGCTCAAAACAAATATTTCAAATGGTTAAAACGTCGAGTTAAAATAATAGACAACATAACCACACACTATAAAATCAAACATGTAATACGCAAGGTACAATGAAAAACCTGTGCATATGCCAGGTTTCGGTGTAGAGGAGGAGTTTATATAAACAGCTCAGCTCAGCTCAGCTCAGTTAGAGACCGATGGAAGAGACGCACTAAACTCTACATGGAGAATCACTTTAATGATCAAAGCACGGAATGTTCCGCCAGTTCAGACAGCAACGACTGCCAGAGGTATGAACCTGACTTTATATTACTATGATGAAGAGATGTTACTTATAAAATACAAATCGCTTTATTATGGAAAGTGGAACGGTCGCCACGAGATGGTCCAAAACACCTGTGCGTCAGGTGATGCCTGCGTCAGTGTCAATATGAACACTTAAACAAATAAAAGACATTTCAGAAAATGTAATGTAAAAAAAATAATAATGAACTCGTTTGATTTTAGCTTCATATTGTTATGGTATTTCCATTAAAGTTTCTGTTATTATTCTTTAACAGTATTCCCACAAGTCTTTAAAACAAGTCTTTAAATGTGTTTCTAGGGACCAATATGGATTTGAGAGAGCAGAAGATTTCAACTATGAATCCTATGAGGACTTTATGTCCAAGCATCTAGCTGTTGTCACTAGAAGGTCAAAGAAGTGGTCGAAACTTTTGCAGGGCACTGTAAATGTTGAGAAAAATATAAAAGGTAGGCAATTGAATTTATTTTATTATTTTATTTTATTGAATCGACACATAAAGGATAAAGAAATTTTTTCACTTTTTAAAGCTGTCATTTGGGTTTGCAGTGAAGCGATATGTGAGGAAGGGGGTTCCATGTGAACATCGCACTCAGATCTGGATGGCAGCTAGTGGAGCCCAGGACCAGTTGGACAGAAATCCTGGCTACTATCATTCTCTATTAAAGGCTGAGCATGACCCTAAAATAGAAGAGGTTATACGTGCTGGTAAGTTATTTCTCCAGTCATGAAACCATGTTTTATTTTAAAGCAGATTGGATGGGACATATGGGAAACAAAATATTTTTGAGATTTTTTTTTTTCCCAGATATGCACAGAACCTTTCCTGACAACATTCAGTTCCGTGCCTCCTCCCAGCCATGTTTACAAAAAGCCCTGTTTAATGTACTTCTGGCTTATGGACACCACAATAAGGATGTTGGTTACTGTCAGGTACTACTGTCATGTACACATGCCCTTTTACACACATAGCCACTATAACTAAAGTGTCGCTTGAATCCAGGATGTATTGAAGTTCCTACTGTAGATGAATCTAAAACTATTGTTTTACTAAATTAATACTTACAGACCTCTTTATAATGATGTGTTTGTTCTTAAGATTGTTTGTTTGTCTTCTCCCTTCAGAAAATCTTTATGGAGCCTGGAGGTCTCTCTACAGCAACAATTTCTAAACTCAGGAAGACGTGTAGGAATCACATTACTTCTGCCTAAAACCCTCCTTTACACTAAATGGTGAACATGGACATACAAGTTCTGCATTTTCAGCATGTGAGATGAGAATCTATTACTTACTGTGTGGGAAAACTTTATAGTATGTTAAGCTTTTATATGAATATTTTAAACATAATGAAAGGGATACACTACCTTTCAAAAGTTTGGGGTCAGTAAGATTTTTTTTTTTTTTGAAAGAGGTCTCTTAAGATTACCAAGCCTGCATTTATTTGATCCAAAATGCAGCAAAGCAGTAACATTGTAAAGTATCATTTACAATTTAGAACAATGTTTTCTATTTATATAGAAAAGTTTAAAGATGTAATTTATTCCTGTGATGGCAAAAGCTGAATTTTTTTGCAGCCATTACTCCAGTCTTCGGTGCCTTTAGAAATCATTCTAATTTGCTGATTTGGTGTTGATTAATATTAATATTTCATGGATACCGTGATAAATATTGTTTGATTAATGGAAAACCAATAAAGCATTTATTGAATGCTTTTGAAACGTCTTAAATTTGACATTTGATTAATTTAATGTGTCCTTGCTGAATAAAAGTATTCATTTTTCAAAAGATTTTACTGACCCCAACCCTTTGAACAGTAGTTCACCCGAAAAAAATTATCATTTAGTGGAGGCATGCCGTTCCAGACCGGTATGATCTTTAGCCTACTGATATTTACTGGTAGATATTTAGAATTTTCTTTTTTGAGTGAACAATATAAGAAGAATTAACTTTTTACTTTTTTTTTTTTTTTACTAATACCAATCAGTTTTGTGTTATAAGTAAAGGTTTTAACTAAATAAAGATGTTTAATAAGCAAACTCTTTTTCTTGGCTTTTATTTTTCACTTTATTTAGAAACTTAGAATCGCATTCCCTTAAAACATGAACTTCATAGCAATCAAGGCAACACTTCAATATCCACAACAACTCCATTTATGCAGTCAATCCATATGAAGGTGCATTAGAAAGGAGAGATTCACCCACCATATGATCAAGCTTATTTTTAGCGCACTCCTTGTGTTTGTAACAGTTAACCATTTACCTGGGTCTATAATAGTCTAAACCTACGTCAAGTTATTCAGAACTTCCTGTTGTGTTAGTGTGAATCACACCCTTAGTCCATCCAGTAGTGCAAAAAAACATAATATATCCTCACTCTAGCAGAATTTCCCTTTTTAACATTTTTGAATGAGTGCAAATACAATGCTAAATGGAAGCAAGCAGGCTATATAGTTGATATGTAGTATGAGAGGGAAACAGAGCTATTTAGTGTTATTGAGGGGTATTCTACTCTAGAAAGTGGATATTCTATCTGTATAAGTTAAGAATCTCTTCGGTACCCAATGCCTCAGCAGATCTGGAGAGATCCAGGCTAGATGTGGAATTTATTTTCATTAAAACTTAGTACCAAATTGACATCTGACTCAACACTGTTATGCAAGGCTTTTTTTAACAGAATTAAATTAATTATTTTTCTCCAATTTGTTGAATCTCAAAAGCTGTATAATGTTCAACTCCAAATGAAATCACTTTGAGATAAGGATCAGGAAGTAGTGTTAAATATCTAGTCCCTTTTATATTGAGCAGTAACAGCATCATCACTTTTCCCTAAATCCTTGTATTTATATAAATAAACGCATGAGGTTAAATGTAAGAATATGAGGTACCAAACAGATCATATGCTTTCTAACCCAGATTATGCCTAAATAACAACAAACACCAGGCATTCCTCTAGATAAGAATAATCTGGTTCCTGGAAACAATAACTTAGCATGACCTAGAGCCTCAAACACACCTTTGATTTTTTTCCCTGCACCCTTAAGTATGCATTAATTATACTATGTTTAACATAATACAACAAAAAGTCCAGGAAGCGCAGGTCCACCTGAGCGGTGGCAGGGTGAGACACCAGCAGAGGGCAGGGCGGGTTAAAAACTAGGCAGCTGCAGTTGTCGTAGTGTTGTTGAGTCCAGATGAGAGCAGAAATCGGTGGTGCTACACAATATTTAAATCAAACTTACCCAACAGCAGCCTAAAAATTGTCCCGGAGGGCATGTTTTGTTTGCGGATGACGGGCATCATGTTTCTTGCCAAAGTAACGTTAAATCCAAACACACTCGATAGAAAAACAGATGATGGCAGACTGTGCAATATGCGCCTTCAAATGGACTCTTCAGATAACTGTTGTTATGGTGCAGACTGCCGCTGTGCCAAATCTACATCTGATAAACGCACTAGGTCAGATTTGTTTAGCTTCTCGTAACCGCAGCACAAACAAACACTAGCGTCATGTGAGCGACTGCTAGCATCACGCAGCAGCAGCAACCTATTCTGGTTTTTGTTTTAAATGCATTTTTGTTGTGGGGATGGTTGTTTTAGAACAGATAGAACACAATGTACCATGGAGTGCTGCTATCCATATCGATAATAAATTAAATAATAATAATAATAAATTATTCAGGATGTATCACATTTCAGTCGTATAAATTAACATTGCTGTAAGCGTTGTGATAAATTATTAGTTCCTGGATAGTCAGTGAATCATAAAATAATTCAAATAATCGTAAAAATACACATCCATGCGTTACATTTCCAGTAGTGTAGTATTTCATCGTGTGATTGGATAACTATTACGGGCTACAGAAGCAACTGCGTGTGTGTGTGTGTGTGTGTGTGTGTGTGTGTGTTGCATTTTGATTAGTCGTGTTTAATATTTTGACAATTATAAACAAGTAAGTTATTGCCTATATTGTATGTTCCCTGTTGTTAAGCGGTACTTAAAGAATGGTGAAATATCATGAAAATGTAGGCTAGATAGATAGATTTAAAAGTAGCTACTCATAAGTGATCTAAAATAAGTGATGTAAAGAGCAGGATACGCGTGACTTAAGATACTCCTAAGTGTCACAGCACAGAGACAATTTACAAGGAGACGAAAGATTTTAGGACCATTCCGCAATGCCATCACAGAAGTGTGATACCTGACCTTTTACCCTTTTATGTTGCTTGCAAATGGTTTATTTAAAGAGCCATAATGATCTTATGAAATGTATCTAACACTTGCAGCAATTATAAGGGAGACTGGAGCTAGTGTTCAGACTTTTTACTCCAGGGAATATTTCTCAAGGTAGATTTATAGTGAAAAATCAGTTTCTGCACAGACAAGTGATAGAGACTTTAAATAGTTTAAAGCTATTGAACATTTCCAACATTATTACCCAGGAAAAAAGATCAAGTAAATCACGTAGAATGTTGTCACTATATGAAGTCACAGTGGAACATGCCTTACAAATTATGTACTGTAAATATTGTAATTAATAATTATAGATAAATAAAAATACAAAATAAAGATCTGACATTTATGAAATGAGAAAGTATTTCAAACTTTTGGATAAAATCTGCCATTATATAGTTGACCCCCAGCTAACAAAAATATGTTCTAAGAATGTTTTGCTAAAGTTCTCATTATAAGAACGTTATTTCTGGATTTTCTTTGAAAATTCAAAATGTCTAGTTATGTCTAGTAATTTAAAAAAAAAACTTTTCTTCATGGTTATGCAAATATTAAAGGAACATTCCATTAGATGATTCTGCAAACTGGGACGCTACTTTTATACGGTCTCTACACATTCTGAAACACATAATAACATTTAAAAAAGGTTAGACGAATATCCAAAGAAAACAGTTCAGAAAACAAATGCTATGAACAATGAATAAATAATGTTTTTGTGCTAACATTTTTAAAACATTATCAAAGACCACATGACTTCAAATGAAAGTTATTTTAATGTTACTTTAAGAATGTTTGTTCATAACTTTGAGGGAACTTTGCCAAAATGTTGGACAAAGTTGTGGGAATGTTCTCTGTTAGCTGGGCCCAAAGAAACATTATTCTAATTTAAGCTAGTCTTTAGTACTAGTGTTAAAAAAAAATACAAAACCATACCAATGGCAATTGCAAAACAGCAGGGGGCACAACATGTACAAACTAGCTTGTGAAATGTAAGTTGCAAAATATTTTCAATTAAAAAGTAGAAGAAAAAACACTGATTAATTTATTTTATAAGAGTTACAGGTGACGTTTTTGATCTCTGTTTTGAAGATGTTGCCTGATTTTATGTTTTCCTTAACTGTTAGAACTAATATTTCTATTGTGTATGATTTCCTGCACGGGAAAAAGAAGTTTGATTCAGATTTGTTATGAATACATCAACCCAATGCTGCTAAAATGGAAAAATCTAACTCAGCAGACAGTGTAACTATCGTATCCTGCAATACTGATGAAAGACACATAACTGTTAGCGTGAAGATGGTCTAAAAATATACAGGAAATGCTAGTGAGACTTTTTTGAGATGAGAGGACAAGAGACTCTTTGGTGAAGGCAGTGGTTGTCATTCACTAGAACAGAAAACCCAGGGCAAGGGCCGCTTCCTGTTAGGTAAAAGATTGACACAGTAGAAGCAATCAAAACAGAAAGGCTAAAAACTGTTGCACATCACTTACAGGCCAAGCAACAGGAAGGTACGGCATCCAAAGAAACTGTCGTTTCAAGGAATGTAATGGAAATGAGCAGGACAATCACTCTTTTGTTCTTGGCCTCACATGTGTCCTCCACAGGTAAAATAATTTCTCTTGCTCTCTACATATGCATTGCGTAAGGTGCCATACATCTACATGCATCTAGCTCATTCAGCGCAGAGTTTTGATGGTTTACTATATGGGTTGTGAAATCTGTATTTGTCGCTGGAGTGAATGTTTAGAAATTGAATATTAGAATTATTTTGTGTGTTTTCTCCTGTAAAGAACATTGAGGTCAAACATCAGGACATCTTCATGTGGCCATTTTAGTTTCCCTGTACACTCAGCAAGATTTGTAGCATAAAATGTAACAGCCGTGATGACTGTGCAGTACACTATTGTGTTTGCAACATAATGTATGAAAAGATACATTATAGTTTTCACGTTACGTTAAGGTTCACGATACGTTAAGGTTTTCAGCATTACTATGATGGTTTGTAACTGTCATCTTCATTCTTAAATGTTGCTTCCTGAGATTCAAAAAGAAGGATCCAAGCAAAGCAGCTCTTGGCACTCTGAAACCCACACTCTCCTTTTATGAAACTCGAGGTCAAAATTGACAGGATCAGCAAATGGCAGCTTTTCAAAAGTCAACAACATTATTGGCCGCTTAGACACACCTATTGTAGGATACTTTGATTATTATTTTTATTTACCAAATTTAATTTATTATATTTTTCTTATTATTATCATTAATAATATTATTTTATTGTAGTGGTTGTTGTAAGTGTTATTTAAAAAGTTATAGTAAAACAAATACAGCAAAAAATCATGGTGAAGGTGATTATATATTCAGTATAAATACTTAGGTAATTTAAAGAATAATTTTTGATTATGGAATAATTGTTTTGATATCTGTTTGCCAGGTAAATTCAATGGGTGCAAAAGTTTTAGTACAACAAGCAAATTCAACCACAGAGTTGATTCAGTATAAAAGGTTTATAAAAAAAAGTTTTTTTTTAGGAAAACAATAGTATTAGTTAAAGGAATGTTTGTTTGTTGAGCAAAGTAATATTTTAGAAACATGCCTGAACTTTACTAGAGCATTTGTACAAATACACAAAAAGTTTGTGTTGTAAATTAATAACAAAACGTGCCAAAAAGACAACAAACTAATTTCGATATCTATTAAATATGTCTGTTTGCTGCCACACCGTAATTGGAGGAATTTATGTGCAAGTCTGAGACAACAGTGAGAAAAATAGATAACTGGCAGCATAGCCCTTTTACATATACATTTTGAATATACAATGATTTTAGCCCAAATTCAAATACACACACTAGATATTTCTGACATTTGGAACAAACTGCAAAATCATTGAATCTGTTGTATATGATAACGCTATCTTAGCAGTCAATGTGTCCTCATTAAAAAATACATATATATTTCTAATTTTCTTAATTCATTGTGATTCTGTGTTGCTGTCATATATTAAATAGAATCACACTAGGTAAACAACTTAATTTTAGTATTAATAGCTTCTTAAAGGTAATTAGGGGCCTAAAATAATAAAACCTACAAACTTTTTGTCATCACTGACGATATTAAATTTGCAATGAATCTGAATCTTAAATTTGTAATGAATCATTCTTTTATATTAAGCAAGCTAAATTCAGATAAGTAATGCATTAGTGATAAATGTAAACTTTAATAAATATAAACTTCACTTTAATACAGTACATTGTTTTGTTTAGTTTTTTTGAGAGTATAAAGATTTTATTTGTCTAGCCTTATATACTGTATATTGTCCTTGTTTCTGTATGCAATGATCTTGCAGAAGAAAAGTGCTTTTTACTCCTATGGCATGTGAAAGGTGTGTGGTCAGTTTGCTAACCTTCATCCACCAGCCCCCATAAACACCTACTTGATCTGCAATGATGCAATGGGGGCTTCACTGTTTTGTGCTCATTCTTGCACTTAACTAGACCCATGCAGAGAAACCACCGAACTAGACGACACACACACACACACACACACACATTTACACAGAGAGACAGATAGAGGAGCCTGGGCCCCTTCTGCCTCAAACAGGAAGGCATGAGTGCAGTTTTTTCATAAAGATTTGTTTTGTGAACCACTAAATGTTCTTAACAAATTAAAAATAAGAGTGAGGAATGAGACTCATCCCTTTTACATTTAATTATGCAAGAATTGTCTAAAATAATATTTCAATAGGCTACCAAACAAGCAGTTTAAGATCACAGTAAATGCCGAATTAGCTCTGTCGACAAAGCATACACTGTAAAAAATGACCGTGAATTTAACAGTAAAAGACTGTAAAAATGCTACAGTAAAAACCTGTTAAATGGTTAACGATAAGTTCCCCTACTATATACGGTGAAAAACTGGATTGGACATTAAATGTAATTTTATGGTAGTATACCGTTTTTGGAAGTGAAAAAGAATGTATAATTTACAGTGAATAACCGTAAATTGACATTCCCAAAATTCCCTGGGTTTCATTTCAAATTTGATGGGGTTTTTTTGTTGTTGAAATAACTATGTTTCTTCTTAGTTTTTTCTTATCAGTTTTGCACATTAGGGTTGTATGTTACATCTAATGTTGTTAAATTAATGTTTATTGCATTATTTCAGTTTCATGTGTGTTACCATGATGATGTTTAGTGTTTGTGTGAATGACACTGTGAACCTTCTATATAAGTTAATATTTAAAAGATGCTTGTCATAGGGTTTGGTTCATCACGTGACTCTCATCACCACCTGCTTTTGGTGTTATCAGTGTATTACAAAGGTACAAAACAGATTTCAGTACTACAATAGGTTGGTATATTAACATTATCAGCTAATAAAATTATGGTATTTAACTGTAAATTTAAGTTTAAACCGTAAAACCTTCAGTACTACAATAGGTTGGTATATTAACATTATCAGCTAATAAAATTATGGTATTTAACTGTAAATTTAAGTTTAAACCGTAAAACCTGTAATGTTGCTAGCTACCATATTGTTTTACGGTAAAATTCTGGTAATCGTATTTTTCCGTAAATGTTACAGAATTTTTTTTTACAGTTTACCGGTATGGTGCATGTTAGTTTTACTTTCTTTGAATGCATTTATCTAATCATTGTCTATTTATCTAAACATATATATATATATATATATATATATATATATATATATATGAGAGTGGAATTCAGATAAGTAATGCATTAGTGATAAATGTAAACTTTAATAAATATAAACTTCACTTTAATACAGTACATTGTTTTGTTTAGTTTTTTTGAGAGTATAAAGATTTTATTTGTCTAGCCTTATATACTGTATATTGTCCTTGTTTCTGTATGCAATGATCTTGCAGAAGAAAAGTGCTTTTTACTCCTATGGCATGTGAAAGGTGTGTGGTCAGTTTGCTAACCTTCATCCACCAGCCCCCATAAACACCTACTTGATCTGCAATGATGCAATGGGGGCTTCACTGTTTTGTGCTCATTCTTGCACTTAACTAGACCCATGCAGAGAAACCACCGAACTAGAACACACACACACACACACACATTTACACAGAGAGACAGATAGAGGAGCCTGGGCCCCTTCTGCCTCAAACAGGAAGGCATGAGTGCAGTTTTTTCATAAAGATTTGTTTTGTGAACCACTAAATGTTCTTAACAAATTAAAAATAAGAGTGAGGAATGAGACTCATCCCTTTTACATTTAATTATGCAAGAATTGTCTAAAATAATATTTCAATAGGCTACCAAACAAGCAGTTTAAGATCACAGTAAATGCCGAATTAGCTCTGTCGACAAAGCATACACTGTAAAAAATGACCGTGAATTTAACAGTAAAAGACTGTAAAAATGCTACAGTAAAAACCTGTTAAATGGTTAACGATAAGTTCCCCTACTATATACGGTGAAAAACTGTATTGGACATTAAATGTAATTTTATGGTAGTATACCGTTTTTGGAAGTGAAAAAGAATGTATAATTTACAGTGAATAACCGTAAATTGACATTCCCAAAATTCCCTGGGTTTCATTTCAAATTTGATGGGGTTTTTTTGTTGTTGAAATAACTATGTTTCTTCTTAGTTTTTTCTTATCAGTTTTGCACATTAGGGTTGTATGTTACATCTAATGTTGTTAAATTAATGTTTATTGCATTATTTCAGTTTCATGTGTGTTACCATGATGATGTTTAGTGTTTGTGTGAATGACACTGTGCACCTTCTATATAAGTTAATATTTAAAAGATGCTTGTCATAGGGTTTGGTTCATCACGTGACTCTCATCACCACCTGCTTTTGGTGTTATCAGTGTATTACAAAGGTACAAAACAGATTTCAGTACTACAATAGGTTGGTATATTAACATTATCAGCTAATAAAATTATGGTATTTAACTGTAAATTTAAGTTTAAACCGTAAAACCTGTAATGTTGCTAGCTACCATATTGTTTTACGGTAAAATTCTGGTAATCGTATTTTTCCGTAAATGTTACAGAATTTTTTTTTACAGTTTACCGGTATGGTGCATGTTAGTTTTACTTTCTTTGAATGCATTTATCTAATCATTGTCTATTTATCTAAACATATATATATATATATATATATATATATATATATATATATGAGAGTGGTGGGTTGACTAGACCACATTTTATTTGATAGGAGATTCCTGCTTGCATTACACAGTAATTTTTGTCTCAAATACTTGAATGTTTTTTATTTGTCCCAATGATAGACAAGTATCGTAAGTTCAGGGATGTTTTGATATCTTTGAGAACTGATTGCAGTTTAAAGTCACTGATTAAAGTGAAAAGTCAAGTTAGATATGGAAGTTTATCCATAAAACCTTGCTAAATTAATAGATCACAATGCAATGCTTGTAAAGTACTTAGATGTGGCCCAGCTTCCTCTGTTTAAGAGGAACAGTTATGAATGCAATATATAGTGCATGCAAAACTCTCTACATCAAAGAGCAATGTTACTCCATTTTTGTCTGTTTGTTTGAATTTCTGTTGTGTTGTGCACTTATGACAAACCATGGTGCAAATAGTAGGATTCAAAAGTAATAATTATTACTCGTTAATAATTATGTTTTATTAGAAAACGCATTTAGACTTGTTTTGTTCACAATCACGACATTTACGGTCTTTAAGAAACATCAAGTAATCTCAAATACTATCCATAGATTTATTTTGATTATTATGTTAAATAAGAGAGTTCGCGGCATATTGAGCAGTCTAATTAAATGTTCCATACATGTGTGCACTGTTTATTTATTTATTTATATTTAATCGACAAACCATGGTGCAAATAGTAGGATTCGAAAGTAATAATTATTACTCGTTAATAATTATGTTTTATTAGAAAACGCATTTAGACTTGTTTTGTTCACAATCATGACATTTACGGTCTTTAAGAAACATCAAGTAATCTCAAATACTATCCATAGATTTATTTTGATTATTATGTTAAATAAGAGAGTTCGCGGCATATTGAGCAGTCTAATTAAATGTTCCATACATGTGTGCACTGTTTATTTATTTATTTATATTTAATTTATTTGAAAAAGGAGAGTGTACTATTTTTAATACATTTTTCCATTCAATGAATAGTACCGGATTTAGCCATAGGTTAATTTTCATCCGCAGTCCAAAGGCAGGTTGTCACTAAACCTCCTTTAAAAAATGACACAAAACAAAATAGACTAAAAGGCATATAATCTATCTTTCAGCTTTGTTGGATTTGTCTAAGAATTTCAGTGAGTTTTCTTTCTCTGTGGTTTGTTTATAAAGTTGTAAAGTCAGTTTGCATTCTATCCATCTAATCCAATAAATGCAAGCAGATCATTTGTGTGTCACTTTTGAGATGCCCCTGTTTAAACTCAAATTTAAATAGTATGTTTTACAAGAATTAGCATGAGAGAAAGTCATTGTATATTAATCAGTGACTCTAGACATGAAAGCCTTGGTATTGGAAAGTTAACATCCTATAGACATTCAGGCATATACAACTTTTCAAATGTTTTCCAACTTCTTATGTGCCTTAAAACTAATCTAACATCATCTAATCTAAATACTGACTTTTTTCTTTCTCTATTTGCATGATGGTTTAGGTACTAGAGGTGTTTTTTCTCTAATTTTTCCATTCTCTTATGTATTCTTTCTTGTTTTCTTGCTTTTTAACATTACAAAACCAACTAAGCAGAGAAAGAAAGAAAGAAGACAAACATTACAAAACATCCATAAATAACCGGAACAAACCACCAAATTCGAAACACCATGTTTTAGTAGAGTACTTTACGAAAGTCTTTTAAAAATGTTTGTTCTATTTGCAGAGACCATGTCTGCGAGTGACCCAACGAATTGCTATATTTTAGATGTTTTTCTGCTGCTGTATTCTATCATTTTTACTGCTCTCTACTTCAGAGAGAAGGTAAGTTGAGCTCTAGCATGCACCATTCGTTCCAAGTGAAGAAATTTACCTCACGGTTTTAACCGCTAACCTGTGTTCTGCCTTGTATCGCTTAGTTTACAAGGGAAGGGCCTGTTCCTCCAGATCCTGCGTCCCCGGCCCGTAACCCCAATGAGCCTGTCTATACAGTGAGTTCTCATTAATATATAAGTCTCCCAAATAGAGGCTCATCATGTTCAAGGTTCAAATATACTTGTTGATGTGTATTACATCGAATGGGTCATTCCTACTATGAAGTGCATTTTCATCTCCTTATCATGAGTGTAATATCTGATAAAATATTAACCCCCCAATTTTTATAAACAAAGTTTGAGCTTTCTTTTAGTTTGTAGTAGCCATATTTTTGATGTGCATGGTTGCTATGCACTTCTGAAAATAAAAAAACTGGCAATTTATTAAGTCCCCCCTTTTTTCCTTTTTAAAGGCTACTCAAAAACGTTATAAAAAAACACAAGTATTATTTTCGTCATCTGTTATATCTCGAACAACTCAACTGGCCTTTTGGCAACAGCTAAAATCCAACTTTAAATATCAAAGGAAACACTTCTGGTTGCATATGGTTAGCTACAACACGATATCTGTTTGCAAGAATCTTGCCCTCTGGCTCATTTTTAATCTAACATTTTGTGATAACTGAAATAGTTGAAAAACTCAAATTAAATATTAATACTTAAAGGTAAATGTAAGTATTATATATATACTATATATATTATATATATATACTCAAATATATGTAAGTACGTTATTACTTCATTCAGGTCTCGATAATTCGCATCCTGAGTCTGGCCAGAGCTTCTTAAAAAGTCGGGTTTAACTTTATTAAAATACCTCCTTAAATTACAAAAGAAGCTTTTTTTTTTAAATCGTGACAAAATTCAAAAGCACTGCCTAGTTGGAATGCCACAAAGACAACGTGCGTTCTGTATTTCTTAGGACTTGGATCTGCCTCAGATGAGTTCTGATTATCAGCAACTGGATAGACCGGTGAGACTATTTTATGTTTTAATTTACTATATAAGTACATTTACATTAGCCACGATAACAGAGAGAGCATAGCAGTGCATTACACATGCTTTACTTCCTGCCTTGATCTCCAATCTTGTTTGTGATCTATAATACAGTAGGCTATGATAAACGTTAATTGCAGTTTTAAAAGTTATTTTTAGATGCCTACCAACATCTAACACATATCTACATATTTCAGATAAGAAGACGAGAGCCAGAGACACATTACCAGGTCAGTAACACTCACTTGTCAAAAAGGATGTGAGAGATGAGATGTACCAGATAAAAGTTTCTTACCTTTTAGTACGACATCTTTGATCCCTGCTGCCCTCCTGTGGTTTTTTACAGTTGAGCACTTATATTTGTAATCGTTCTGCAATGGCGGTTGGTGTGTTTACTTTGGTTTGTTGGTTTGTGAGGAATTGAGACCACATACAAGTGATGAATACCAGGAAATAAGAACTAAAGGAACCAAAGTAAGTGTATCAGTGTATCAAATATGAGAAAAGTGTGTGGGTTGTGGGGTTAGGAAGTGTTTTTGATGTGAGGTTTACCCAGCAGTGATGCCAAATATCCTTACTATGCTCAGTTGTAGGGATGCACGATATATCGGCCACCATATCGGTATCGGCCCATATCGGCTCATTTTTTCTGTTATCGGTATCGGCCTGATAAGAAAATTTGGCCGATATCTTAAAGCCGATAAATAATGCATTATTTCCTTCAGAGACACTTCAGATGCGCGCTGTTCGTTTGCAGCCTTTTGTGCAATTGTACATTGTAATATTGTGTTTATTTGATGTATATCTGATTTATCTCATATAGAATGCGTTTGGTTAAGTTAAAAGAGCACTTCAGTTTACCGGTATATAAGTCTCCCAAATAGAGGCTCATCATGTTCAAGGTTCAAATATACTTGTTGATGTGTATTACATCGAATGGGTCATTCCTACTATGAAGTGCATTTTCATCTCCTTATCATGAGTGTAATATCTGATAAAATATTAACCCCCCAATTTTTATAAACAAAGTTTGAGCTTTCTTTTAGTTTGTAGTAGCCATATTTTTGATGTGCATGGTTGCTATGCACTTCTGAAAATAAAAAAACTGGCAATTTATTAAGTCCCCCCTTTTTTCCTTTTTAAAGGCTACTCAAAAACGTTATAAAAAAACACAAGTATTATTTTCGTCATCTGTTATATCTCGAACAACTCAACTGGCCTTTTGGCAACAGCTAAAATCCAACTTTAAATATCAAAGGAAACACTTCTGGTTGCATATGGTTAGCTACAACACGATATCTGTTTGCAAGAATCTTGCCCTCTGGCTCATTTTTAATCTAACATTTTGTGATAACTGAAATAGTTGAAAAACTCAAATTAAATATTAATACTTAAAGGTAAATGTAAGTATTATATATATATACTCAAATATATGTAAGTACGTTATTACTTCATTCAGGTCTCGATAATTCGCACCCTGAGTCTGGCCAGAGCTTCTTAAAAAGTCGGGTTTAACTTTATTAAAATACCTCCTTAAATTACAAAAGAAGCTTTTTTTTTAAAATCGTGACAAAATTCAAAAGCACTGCCTAGTTGGAATGCCACAAAGACAACGTGCGTTCTGTATTTCTTAGGACTTGGATCTGCCTCAGATGAGTTCTGATTATCAGCAACTGGATAGACCGGTGAGACTATTTTATGTTTTAATTTACTATATAAGTACATTTACATTAGCCACGATAACAGAGAGAGCATAGCAGTGCATTACACATGCTTTACTTCCTGCCTTGATCTCCAATCTTGTTTGTGATCTATAATACAGTAGGCTATGATAAACGTTAATTGCAGTTTTAAAAGTTATTTTTAGATGCCTACCAACATCTAACACATATCTACATATTTCAGATAAGAAGACGAGAGCCAGAGACACATTACCAGGTCAGTAACACTCACTTGTCAAAAAGGATGTGAGAGATGAGATGTACCAGATAAAAGTTTCTTACCTTTTAGTACGACATCTTTGATCCCTGCTGCCCTCCTGTGGTTTTTTACAGTTGAGCACTTATATTTGTAATCGTTCTGCAATGGCGGTTGGTGTGTTTACTTTGGTTTGTGTATTTTATAGGAATTGAGACCACATACAAGTGATGAATACCAGGAAATAAGAACTAAAGGAACCAAAGTAAGTGTATCAAGCCAACGAATATGAGAAAAGTGTGTGGGTTGTGGGGTTAGGAAGTGTTTTTGATGTGAGGTTTACCCAGCAGTGATGCCAAATATCCTTACTATGCTCAGTTGTAGGGATGCACGATATATCGGCCACCATATCGGTATCGGCCCATATCGGCTCATTTTTTCTGTTATCGGTATCGGCCTGATAAGAAAATTTGGCCGATATCTTAAAGCCGATAAATAATGCATTATTTCCTTCAGAGACACTTCAGATGCGCGCTGTTCGTTTGCAGCCTTTTGTGCAATTGTACATTGTAATATTGTGTTTATTTGATGTATATCTGATTTATCTCATATAGAATGCGTTTGGTTAAGTTAAAAGAGCACTTCAGTTTACCGG